TAGGGAGGCATGTGATTGGCCCCAAATTTATTCAGCAGCAGCACAACGACCCCAAACATACAGCCAATGTCATTAAGAACTATCTTCAGCATAAAGAACAAGGAATCCTGGAAATGATGGTTTGGCCCCCACAGAGCCCTGATCAAAACATCATCAAGTCTGTCTGGGATTACATGAAGAGACAAAGATTTGAGGCAGCCTATATCCACAGGAGATCTGTGGTTAGTTCTCTAAGAAGCTTGGAACAACCTACCTGCTAAGTTCCTTCAAAAACTTTGCAAGTGACCTAGAAGAATTGATGCTGTTTTGAAGGCAAAGGGTGGTCACACCAAATTTTGATTTGCATTTCTCTTCTGTTTGCTAACTTTGCATTTTGTAAATTGATAAACATAAACAATTACAATATATTTTTGAAAGCATTCTTACTTTACAGCATTTTTTCACACCTGCCTAGAACCTTTGCACAGTACTGTACATGTATAGCCTACAGTTCATTACGTTTTCTCAAAAATTGCTCTATGAAGTTAGCTGATTTTTCAGATTTAACATAACTTCCATCACAGAACTAATGAGTTGTCCTATGTCACATCAGAATCATCAGATTTAGTCCATAATTGCTATGTTACACAGTTTATGTATGTAGAGATTCTGTTGTGGCTTTAGCAGGCTTGTTTCAGAGTTAAGACCTGTTAGATTTACAGCGAATGCCCCACTCAGATCAGAAGCAAACATAGGCTGTGCTGGCCCTTCAGAAAAGTTCCAAAATCCAAAAAGAACAGAATCGTTATTAAAGCCAAACCACATGTCCATCTAGATGTTAAAATAGGGTGAGGTGAAGGGAGTAAAGAGAGAGTTTGGTACTGAAACACTGGCATTTGTGTTTATCATGGCCTTATGTTAGAGTGTTGAAGAGGAAATATATAAATTAAGGTAGGTGTTACGGTGGTTGATTTCCTTACCTCATTTCTTAAAGTATAAAATCTAGCTGCTACTTGGATGTGTCACAGTTCTTAGAGAAAGCATGGATTTCTTGGCAAGTTGAAAACAAAAGAAATTAGACCACTGTATAATAACAAAGCTTGAAAATTAATACAAATTAGTCTGATAATTTCTCAAGGATGTAGTTGCTACCACTGCGAGAAGGCATTTCTGTTTTAGCCTGATAGCCCCTAGGGTTTTTTCCCCCTAAAGATAAGGTGGCCTAACTGCTGCTCTTTTTAGCCTTGCTAGTTTTGTGACTAGTTTTTTCCTTTGGTGGCTTTAATCGTTTTGTTAGTAGTCTGACTGAGGAGCTAGAGGAAATAGGTTTATACAGTACTGCCTTGCTGATTTTGAAAGAATAATTCATGGGGTAGAAGAACATACTGAAGGAGCAGTGTCAAAATGTATAGTGCTTGATTGAGGGTATCTGGAATACAGTGTCCAGACCCAAGGACTGTCCAAAGTCGTCATGAGTTGGGCAGCCATACAAGTCAATTAATAAACCCAAATTGAATAAACAAGCAAATATTTGTAGGAATGAGAGTTTCATTATACAAGAGATTAGGAAATGGAATATTTTATGTGGAAGAAACTGCTGAGATACATCTTTTGGAAGAATTAGTGAAAATTATTTGAAATTAATACATTGACAGTATTATACCCCAATTCTTTTAGCAAAAAATGTAAGGAAAATATTTAAGGAATGTTGGAAGGGATGTGGCAATATTGAAACATACTGGTGCATTTGGTGGAATTGCCTAAATATCCAGCAGTTTTGGAAATCATTTTTTAGGAAGATAAGTAAAACCTGTACACCACCAGTTCTAGCAAATACCAGAATGTATCATTGCTTGAAGGAGAAAATGAAAATGTTAACAGCAAAGACAGATTTACGCTGATAATAGCAAGGATATCTATAGCCCAGAAATGGGATTAGTATTCTAATTCTAGGCTTTGGTATTCCAAATTACTAGAAATGATTTTAATGACAAACCATAAAAACTGTATAATATTCATACACAAAATGCAAAATATTAGGTACAATGTCTCTTTCAATCTCATTTAGAAAGATTTTTACTTACTTGCTAAAAAATCAGTCAATTAAGAGACATTGTCTCTAGTGCTGATAATGGATTTTGTAGTATGAATAATCATTTTATGGTAGAATTTAAAGAAGGTGCCTCAAACTAGCAATGTTTAGGACTCAAGTGATGGAGAAGCTCTTAATTTGTTCCCAGCTGGGATATCCTTGCAAGCTTTTCTTACTGGTTGGCAGGATTCAGTTGGGAGTGGAATAAAGAGTTACATTGCCTGCTGATGCTTATTCAGCATGGTGCTTTTGAGGTTTTGAAAACCAGCTTTTTGCATCTTCTAAAGTTAAAGATGGAGTACTGGATTAGTAAATACATGTGTGTATGTTTGTTTTCAATTTTAGCTAAAGAAAATGGCTCCGGAATACTATGACCACTTACCACAATATAACTCCTGGATTAAAGTGCTTTATGACTTTGTGATGGATGACACTGTCAGCCCATACTCACGCATGAAAAGACACACAAAAGGTGATGAGAAACTAGAGTAACCTTTCAACCAAAAAGTTTCTTCACGAACTCGAGGCATAGCTTCATGGTAACTTGGTACAAGATGTCACTTGATAAATACTTGTTGGTTTGTTATTTTGAACAAGGCTAGAATATGGATATATTGTTACATTTTAAAACAGGTCTCTGAAAAATTGAAAACTTTGGTAGTAGAATTAAAATGTTCCTACCCTTTCAATTTTTTTCCTGGTATAACTGTTCTGTGCATAACATTAGTATTAGTATTACATGATGTGTTTTGATACCTGTTCTCTCAAACATTGGTTCTTTAAACTTAATTGTTTACGTTTATACAATTGGTTTCAAGAAAAAAGCATAAGTAACTGCTGACTACATAGACAACTCCTCTGCTTATTTCTTCTTTTGCTAATGGTAATTATTAAATAAACTTCTGGTTAACATTAATTTTAATTTACATGGTATATTAAAATGTCTGGCTTCAGTCTCTTCCAAATACATGTATATCATGAATTAGCATATGCAATGCTAATATAGTAGATGGACAGTATTGCATTATAACTGCTGTTTAAGAAAGTATAAGATCCTTAAAATCTACTAGTTCTCTCTGACCTCAAAATAAACATGTTAGCTATTTGGTAACTATTACATTAAATGTAATTAAAATCAGTATACACCAACCAGAAAGGCCTGTCTGTGGAAAATTAGTTTTTATTCTGTGGACTAAATTCAACAATATGCCAGCATATTTTGCATTTGTGAAAGAGTAGTTTTTCTTTCTTTCCTCTACTTGGAGCCCCAGAGCATGTCATCTGATCTTATTTGGAGAATATCCAGAACTTTCAGAACAAGAATTTGCGTACTTATGGATAGTGGAATTTAACTTGCCAGCACTGTCATTTAGTAGAAAGCCATTTTTGTTTTGCAAATGTTGGTATGTTGCTACTCTATAGGATATCTGCTTTGCTTCAGATTAAGTGTTGGATTAATCTGCCTTGGTAACCTTCATTAGTCGTACAATTTACTGAACCCAGATTTGTATGTTAACCTCTTGTGCTTTTTTTTGTTTCTACCAGAGTAAGAGTTATATAAATTATGTGTGTAGAATATGAAGTGTGCAAATATAACATATCTTGCAAATAAGGAATAGAAAATAAGTTGTAACAAAAATTATTGAATACTTGAATAAAGGTATGTGCTAAATTTCATCAATACAACTATGCGTGATCTTCGTGAAAGCATAGTAAAAATAAATATGCTCCTCTGGATTATAGGTTAATAGCAAGCGTGGTCTGTCTGATGAAGTTAATTTCTTCACAGCTTCTAAAATCTTATTCATGTATGGTGTTTCAGTATGTTTGGGAGGGGAGTGGCATAAAGAGACTATACCATTACACTGAACCTTGAAATAGAACATATTCAAAGAAGCTAGATAGGCTAGAAGTGCTGCTGAAAATTATGTATTTAACATACAGGTAGTCCTCAACTTATGACCATTTGTTTAGCAACTGTTTGAAGATAATGGCAGTGCTGAACAAAAGGACTTACATTCCTGAAGTTATGGCTGTTGCAGCGCCCCGCAGTCACACAATCAAAATTCAGGCACTTGGCAGCCTGCCTGCATTTATGAACACAGGGATGCTTCAACTCCCCCCCATCTCTGCCCTTTTCGCCCCCTGTACCCTGCCACCTCTGCTGTGCTAGCTGCCCTTCACTGTCTTCTTGCTCCCACTGCTGACCAAGCATGCCCAGCCTGGCCCTTCGCACTTTCGTCCCAAGGTTGTGCACCAGTTTCCTCATGAGGCCTGGGGAAGATGGCCGCCTGTGGCCAGCAGCTGCCTTTGGAAGGGCCAGGGTGGGCGCACCTCGTCAACAGTGGGAGCAAGAAGACAGCGAAGGTCAGCTGGGGCAGTGGAGACGGGGGTAGCAGTGGCCTCGGAGAGCAGAGTGGTGAGAGCGGCTGCAGTTTCCTGGGGCTTCACGCTTTTGGGGCTTCCAGGGCACTGTGACTTTGTGCTGTGCTGCTAGGGCTTTTAGGGGTGGCTGCCGTGTGATTTGCTTAATGACTGCATAGCTTAGTGACCTAAATTCCAGTCCTAGTTATGGTCATAAAGCAAGGACTACCTGTACCTTTGTCGTGTTTTCCCATAGTAGCCTTCCCCCCCCCCCCCAAAGTATACCAAACATTCCAGCCTTTTCTTACAGAGAAGGTATTTAAGATCCCGGATCATCATGGTTACCCCTTTCTGCACTTTCCCCACTTTCGTTATATCCTACTTAAGGGCCATAACTGCACAATATTGCAGAAGTGGGCACATCACAGTGATAGTTTATCTATGTAGAATTTACATACAAATATATTTCATATATTTAGTACTGAAACACTTAGGCTTTCATTAATCTTTGACTCCTGTTTCATTCAAGTTTGTAAGCTTGGAGGCCCTTTTCACTAACCTTGATAAACTCTACCCATAGAAACAATATTATAAGGTGTACATTCCAAGGATAACTTCTTCCTAGAAAAAGATGTTTAGCTAACGGTCAAGGGACCCTAGTAAGCAAAGAAGGAAGTCCCTTATATGGAATGAGTGACTGAGAAAGGGCTGGTATTCTGTAGGAGGGACTGAATGGAATGTATATAATGTGCTGGGGGGGGGGGGTCAAAG